CAGCAGCAGCAGCAGCAGCAGCAGCAGCAGCAGCAGCAGCAACAGCAGCAGCAGCAGCAGCAGCAGCAGCAGCAACAGCAACAGCAACTGAATAATAATGATTGCACTTTACCTTTCTAACATCATCTACTGTCTTCGGGGCGTCAATGGGGCCCTCATCCTGAAAAGAAAAGAACAAACGCACTGCTGCTGCTGCTGCTGTTGCTGCTGCTGCTGCTGCTGTTGCTGCTGCTCCTGCTGCTGTTACTGCTGCTGTTGTTGCTGCTGCTGCTTCTGTTGCTGCTGTTGCTGCTGCTGCTGCTGCTGCTGCTGCATTGGGGAAAGAAGACAGGAGAAAGGGCAGCAGCAAAAGAAATCTGTTTTGCTGCAGCTGGCAGCAGCAAATTTGTTTTGCTGCAGCTGGCAGCAGCAAACGGCGTTTTGCTGCTGCGGCCAATTTTGCTGCAGCAAAGCGAATTTGGGAGATCTTTTTGCCGGATTTGCTGCAGCTTTTTCTCCCCTGGACTTCGGAGATTATTAAATTTAAATTAATTATTTATTTATTCTTTTTTATTTCAAAAATTAAAAAAAAATAATTAATTTAATTATTTTCCACTTTGCTGCACCTGCGGGGCCACCGCCGCGCGCTCCGCAGCCTTCACCACTGGCTGTGTGTCCCAGAACAAGTGCGGGGCCACAGACAATCCTGAATAAATAAATAAATAAATAAATAAATAAATAAATAAATAAATAAATAAATAAATAAATAAATAAATAAAACAAAATAAATAATAAATAAATAATAATTCTTTAATTGGAAGTTGGAGGGGAGGGAAGGCTGCGCTGCAGCAAAAACGCGAAGTGCAGCAGCAGCAGCAAAAAGGGGAGCAGCAGCAGCAAAGGGGAGCAGCAGCAGCAGCAAAGGGGAGCAGCAGCAGCAGCAGCAAAAGGGAAGGCAGCAGCAAAGTGCAGGCAGCAGCAACAAATGGGGGAACAGAAGCAGCAAAAGGGGAAGCAGCAGCAGCAAGAGGGGAAGCAGCAGCAGCAAAAGGACAGCAGCAACAGCAAACAGGAAAGGAGCAGCAGCAAAACGAACAGCAGCAGCAAAAAGGGAAGCAGCAGCAGCAAGAGGGGAAGCAGCAGCAGCAAGAAGGGAAGGAGAAGCAGCAAAAGGAAAAACAGCAGCAGCAGCAGCAAGAGAAGAAGCAGCAGCAGCAAAAGAAAGAGCAGCAGCAAGAGGGGAATCAGCAGCAGCAAAAGAAGCAGCAGCAGCAACAGGCGAAGCAGCAGCAGCAAGAGGGGAATCAGCAGCAGCAAAAGATGAAGCAGCAGCAGCAAGAAGGGAATAAATAGCAGCAAAAGGGGAAGCAGCAGCAGCAAAAGGGGAAGCAGCAGCAGCAGCAAAAAGAATTGAGCAAATGAGCAGCAGCAAAAGAGTGGAAAGCAAATTAAATTAAATTCCAAATTAAAAAATAAAAACAATTTAAAGAAATCACAAAAACATAAATGCAGCAGCAGCAAAAACGCCTCAAGGCGCTGCAGCAAATGACTTTAGCTGCTGCTGCTGCTGCTGCTGCTGCTGTTGCTGCTGCTGCTGCTGCTGCTGCTGCTGCTGGGCTATTTGCTGCGGGCTGGCGAGGGAAGCAAAGCAAAGAAAAGTGGAGACTGGAGTTGAAAGAAAAGTGCGGAATAAATATTTGAAAAGAAAAATAAATTCTTTAAAATTAATTATTTAAAAAAAAAGAAATCCTTTAAAATTAATTTATTTAAAAAAAGAAGTTCTTTTAAAATTAATTTATTTAAAAAAAGAAGTTCTTTAAAATTAATTTATTTACCTCTCATGGCGCGAGTCAAAGCTGCTGCTGAGGGCATCGCCTCTGGCACTGGGGGAGCTGTTTGGGCTTTTTGCTGCTGCTGCTGCTGCTGCTGCTGCTGCTGCTGCTGTTGCTGCTGCTGCTGCTGCTGCGGCTGCGGATCTGCTGCTGCGTCTGCTGCTGCTGCATTTTCCTTGCAGTCTGCAGGCATCTTGGCGCTGGGGGTCCGTGGCCTCGGGCTAAAAGCAGCAACAAGGGGCTTCCCGGGGAGTTTGGAGTTTTAAAATTAAAAATAAATTAATTTTGGAAAAGAAGAATTCAAAAAAAAAGAAAAAGGGGAGAAAAAGAGCCCCGAACGAGTCCGATCCGATCCAAGACAGGGGGGCCGCGGGGTTGGCCTCGTTCTGCGCGAATCTCGAGTTAAAACAAAGAATCCAAGAGTTTAATTTATCAAATTTATTAAAATAAAGAATTTGAATTAATTGAATTAATTTCAAACGGGCACACGCACTGCGAGCGCCGCATGCTGTCTGTACAGCTGGGGCTGTCGGAGCACAGGCACGGCTGCCCCCCCTTTTGCGCCTCTTTGTCGGTTTTCGACGGTTAAAAGCGCAAAATAATTCAAATTTTGTAATTAATTCGTTTTCGCCGTTCAATTTGACGCAGATGGCGCTAAAAAGCGTTAATTTGGGTGCGGAATTGCCTCCGCAGCCCGCGAGTTGCTGCGCGCGTTTCGGAACTGCAGTGCAGCCTCCGCAGAAACCCGCGAAAAAGCCTCCAATTAATGAATATTTTCCGCGAATTGTCCATTTATTTGCACTTTTATTCAATTTATTTATTTATTTTCGTCTTTTTCGGCCCTTTTAGCCCCAGAAATGCGCAGTTTTCCGCTTTTCGTTCAAGTTTTGAGTTCAACTCGTGCAGAAACTTGAATGCAAGTTCGCCCAGGCCGAGAGCCAACGGCCGCAGCGGGGGTTTTAACTTCTTTTAAAAGAAATAAAATCAAAAGATGTTTAAAACAAATCAAAATAATAAATCTAATTTAAATTGCAAAACAAAAAAAGTGCCAAAGAGGGAATTCAGAAACACACGGAAAGCTTATTTTGCTGCTGTTGCACGGGCTGGAAGGGTTTAGGGTTTAGGGTTTAGGGTTTAGGGTTTGGGGCTTGGGGTTTGGGGGCTGGGGTTTGGGGTCTAGGCTTCAGGGTTTAGGGTTTAGGGCTAGAGTTTACGGTTAGGGTTTAGGGTTTAGGGTTTAGGGTTTAGGGTTTCTATTCAAAGTGTGACTATAAAGTCAAATAGTTTCAAATACACTTCATATTTATGTATAAATATGCCATCCGTCTACTAACTTAAGGGTTCAGCACTACGGTTTAGGGTTTAGGGTTTAGGGTTTAGGGTTTAGGGTTTGATGTTTAGGGTTTAGGGTGCGCTGGTTGGGGTTCAGCAAGAACAGATTTATTTGAATTCGTTTTAATTTCCTTTTTTGCCCTAAACCCTAAACCCTAAACCCTTTTTGATTTCATAGTGTTCGATTGGACGCTGCGAAGGGCAAACCCTAAACCCTAAACCCTAAACCCTAAATCCTAAACCCTGAACACTAAATCGTAAACCCTAAACCCTAAACCCTAGAGCTTGCCGTCTGCTGGGCTTGCGGCACAGCAACGTATTGAGTTGGCCCTGGCGGAATTCGTTTTACTCAATTACTTGCTGCTGCTGCTGCTGCTGCTACTGCTGCTGCTGCTGCAGCTGCTGCTGCTGCAGCTGCTGCTGCTGCAGCGGCTCCTGCAGCTGCTACTGCTGCTGCTGCTGCTGCTGCTGCTGCAGCTACATGCTGCTGTTTGCTGTTGTTTAATTGCTGCTGCTTGTTTCTGATTTATGAATAAACATTAAAACTTCATTTCAACTATTTAGATATAAAGCCATGAGAATTATAAAACTGCAAAAGTTGAATTATTTAAAGTTTATAAATTCAAGAAGTTGATTTGACTTTTTAACTCAACAGCAAGTTGAGCAAATTCAAAAAACTAATTAGTCTTGAACTGCAGTCCGAAACTGATTTCATCCTCCATTCTTTTGAAATATAATTTATTTTTAATTTAAAAATAAAAGTGGCATTTAAAAGTCTTTATTTATTTTTTCTTTTGTTGCATTCTCGAGATCAGCTGTATGGGGTTTCGTAGCTTTCGAGTTGGGCGGAGAGCCCCGCAGCCTGCAGAAGCCGCGCTGCAGCTGAATTTTCCGCAGAAAATGAACAAATTAGCATTTAAATGCTTAAAAATATAGTTTAAATTCACTTTAAGATAAATTTAAAATGATTTAGCGGCAGTCGGCTCAGTTCTGCTTCTGCGTCCCTCAGGTGTCTGTACACCGGAAGGAACCCGTGGGTCTCGCAGCCCGCGAGCGCAGGCGGCACACGCAGATGAATATTTCTTCTTTTTTCTTAATTTTTTGATTTTCGCGGCTTTTTTGATAAAATAATTATAAATAAAAGACCAGCGAGCGAATTTAGCGGAAGATTTCGCCCGGATCAGCCCGCTTTCCGTTGGTGGGGTTGGTGTTGCGGCGCCGCGGCTTCAGCGGCCGAGCGACTGACAGACCCGCAGCGAATCTTTTCTTTGATTTTTTGCACAGAACTTAAATACATTTAATTGACTTTAAGCGTTTTCGAGTTGAAGATTTGCCTTTCTTCGCCGGGCGCCGGCGCGGCCGCTCAGCTGTACAGACACCCCAGGAAGAAAGCAGCGCATCCCCAACAGCCCAAAACCCCTGCCTTTCACTTATTCAATTTTAAAGTCCGCCGGCCTCCCAGCTGAAGTTCCAGGAGCTCTTGGGGGCCCCTCTGCGCTCTGCTGCTAGTACCCTCTGGCGCTGCGGCTTCCTGCAGCACGGGCCCCCCTTCCCGCTGCAGCAGCAGCTGCTGCAGCAGCAGCAAACCGCAGCCTGCTGCAACGCCCAAGGCCCTCAATGCGCAATGAGCTCCACAGTTCAAGAAACCCGCCAAGCAACGGAGCAGCAGCACCAGGATGTCGTGAGCTGTACAGACACCTCAATTAGCTGTCCAGACACCTCAATTAGCTGCCTATACACCTCAATTAGCTGCCTATACACCTCAGCTAGCTGCCTATACACCCCAGCTAGCTGCCTATACACCTCAATTAGCTGCCCATACACCCCAGCTAGCTGCCTATACACCTCAGTTAGCTG